ACTCAGGGACACAGAATTGTTACTGAGGGACAACAGAATTGTTACTCAGGGACACAGAATTGTTACTCAGGGACAGACACAGAATTGTTACTGAGGGACACAGAATTTTTACTGAGGGACACAGAATTTTTACTGAGGGACAGACACAGAATTGTTACTGAGGGACACAGAATTGTTACTGAGGGACACAGAATTCTTACTCAGGGGACACCAGAATTGTTACTCAGGGACAGACACAGAATTGTTACTCAGGGACACAGAATTGTTACTGAGGGACACAGAATTGTTACTCAGGGACACAGAATTGTTACTCAGGGACACAGAATTGTTATGATTACTCAGGGACAGACACAGAATTGTTACTGAGGGACACAGAATTGTTACTGAGGGACACAGAGATTGTTACTGAGGGACACAGAATTGTTACTGAGGGGGACAGACACAGAATTGTTACTGAGGGACACAGAATTGTTACTCAGGGAGGTGTTACTGACACAGAATTGTTACTCAGGGACACAGAATTTTACTCTCAGGGACAGACACAGAATTGTTACTGAGGGACACAGAATTGTTACTCAGGGGACACAGGGACACAGAATTGTTACTCAGGGACAGACAGTTACACAGAATTGTTACTCAGGGACACAGAATTGTTACTCAGGGACAGACACAGAATTGTTACTGAGGGACACAGAATTGTTACTCAGGGACAGACACAGAATTGTTACTGAGGGACACAGAATTGTTACTGAGGGACACAGAATTGTTACTGAGGGACACAGAATTGTTACTCAGGGACAGACACAGAATTGTTACTGAGGGACACAGAATTTTTACTGAGGGACACAGAATTGTTACTCAGGGACAGACACAGAATTGTTACTGAGGGACACAGAATTGTTACTGAGGGACACAGAATTGTTACTGAGGGACAGACACAGAATTGTTACTGAGGGACACAGAATTGTTACTCAGGGACAGACACAGAATTGTTACTCAGGGACACAGAATTGTTACTCAGGGACAGACACAGAATTGTTACTGAGGGACACAGAATTGTTACTCAGGGACACAGAATTGTTACTCAGGGACACAGAATTGTTACTCAGGGACAGACACAGAATTGTTACTGAGGGACACAGAATTGTTACTGAGGGACACAGAATTGTTACTCAGGGACAGACACAGAATTGTTACTGAGGGACACAGAATTGTTACTCAGGGACACAGAATTGTTACTCAGGGACAGACACAGAATTGTTACTGAGGGACACAGAATTGTTACTCAGGGGACACAGAATTGTTACTGAGGGACACAGAATTGTTGCTCAGGGACAGACACAGAATTGTTACTCAGGGACACAGAATTGTTTACTGAGGGACACAGAATGTTACTGAGGGACAGACACAGAATTGTTACTGAGGGACACAGAATTGTTACTCAGGGACACAGAATTGTTACTCAGGGACACAGAATTGTTACTGAGGGGACAGACACAGAATTGTTACTGAGGGACACAGAATTGTTACTGAGGGACACAGAATTGTTACTGAGGGACACAGAATTGTTACTGAGGGACACAGAATTGTTACTCTGAGGGACACAGAATTGTTACTGAGGGACACAGAAATTGTTACTCTGACCAGACACAGAATTGTTACTCAGGGACAGACACAGAATTGTTACTGAGGGACACAGAATTGATTACTGAGGGACAGACACAGAATTGTTACTGACGAATTGTTACTGGGGACACAGAATTGTTACTGAGGGACACAGAATTGTTACTCAGGGACAGACACAGAATTGTTACTGAGGGACACAGAATTGTTACTGAGGGACACAGAATTGTTACTGAGGGACACACCGAATTGTTATCAGGGACACCAGAATTGTTACTCGGGGACAGACACAGAATTGTTACTGAGGGACACAGAATTGTTACTGAGGGACACAGAATTGTTACTCAGGGACACAGAATTGTTACTCAGGGACAGACACAGAATTGTTACTGAGGGACACAGAATTGTTACTGAGGGACACAGAATTGTTACTCAGGGACAGACACAGAATTGTTACCTCAGGGACAGACACAGAATTGTTACTGAGGGACACAGAATTGTTACTGAGGGACACAGAATTGTTACTCAGGGGACACAGAATTGTTTTACTGAGGGACAGACAGAATTGTTACTCAGGGACACAGAATTGTTACTCAGGGACACAGAATTGTTACTCAGGGACAGACACAGAATTGTTACTGAGGGACACAGAATTGTTACTCAGGGACAGACACAGAATTGTTACTGAGGGACACAGAATTGTTACTGAGGGACACAGAATTGTTACTCAGGGACACAGAATTGTTACTCAGGACACACAGGCAGAATTGTTACTCAGGGACAGACACAGAATTGTTACTGAGGGACACAGAATTGTTACTGAGGGACACAGAATTGTTACTCAGGGACACAGAATTGTTACTCAGGGACAGACAGAATTGTTACTGAGGGACACAGAATTGTTACTGGGGACACAGAATTGTTACTCAGGGACAGACACAGAATTGTTACTGAGGGACACAGAATTGTTACTGAGGGACACAGAATTGTTACGTTAGGGACACAGAATTGTTACTGGGGACACAGAATTGTTACTGCGAGGGACACAGAATTGTTACTCAGGGACAGACACAGAATTGTTACTGAGGGAACACAGAATTGTTACTCTGAGGGACACAGAATTGTTATCTCGAGGGACACATAATTGTTACTTAGGGACACAGAATTGTTACTCAGGGACACAGAATTGTTACTGAGGGAGACACAGAATTGTTACTGAGGGACACAGAATTGTTACTGAGGGACACAGAATTGTTACTGAGGGACACAGAATTGTTACTCAGGGACACAGAATTGTTACCTCAGGGACAGACACAGAATTGTTACTCAGGGACACAGAATTGTTACTCAGGACCAGGGTTACTCAGGGACACAGAATTGTTACAGAATTGTTACTCAGGGACACAGAATTGTTACTGAGGGACACAGAATTGTTACTCAGGGACACAGAATTGTTACTCAGGGACAGACACAGAATTGTTACTCAGGGGACACAGAATTGTTACTCAGGGGACACAGAATTGTTTACTCAGGGACACAGAATTGTTACTCAGGGACAGACACAGAATTGTTACTGCAGGGACACAGAATTGTTACTCAGGGACACAGAATTGTTACTGAGGACACAGGAACAGTTTATCAGGGACACAGAATTGTTTACTCAGGGACACAGAATTGTTACTCAGGGACACAGAATTGTTACTGCGGGGAACAGAATTGTTACTCAGGGACAGACACACAGAATTGTTACTCAGGGACACAGAATTGTTCTGAGGGACACAGAATTGTTACTGAGGACACAGAATTGTTACTGAGGGACACAGAATTGTTACTGAGGGGACACAGAATTGTTACTCAGGGACAGACACAGAATTGTTACTGAGGGACAACAGAATTGTTTCTGAGGGACACAGAATTGTTACTGAGGGACACAGAATTGTTACTGAGGGACACAGAATTGTTACTCAGGGACAGACACAGAATTGTTACTGAGGGACACAGAATTGTTACTGAGGGACACAGAATTGTTACTGAGGGACACAGAATTGTTACTGAGGGACAGACACAGAATTGTTACTCGGGACAGGGACACAGAATTGTTACTCAGGGACAGACACAGAATTGTTACTCAGGGACACAGAATCGTTGAATTAAAGAGTATGTCAGACAACACGCAGAGGAGTGGCAGAGGAGGCAATGTTTTAGGAGCGAGAGCAGACGTGGCAGCAGAGGAAGGGGTCGAGGCAGCACTAGTCGCAGCCAGAGGCCAGTGCTCCCGGTGTCATCCAGCGGTCGTGTCTCCACCGACAACCCTTGCCGTCATCGATTGGTTGGCTCGGTCGTTCTTTCCTCTTCCCAGGTCACCTCTGACACCTACACAGCCAACGGTCGGTGGGTACGTCAGACACAACCGTTAGTTGGCATGGCCCGGGAGCAAGCCCACTGAAATCACGTGTCCTCTACCTGCCCCTGTCCTTTGGTGTTCCCTCACCAAGCGAAGTATCGCATGCTGTGGGCTCAGCCCCACTGTACAGTGAGGAAGAGCTACAGAGGGCGGTCAGGAACGGGGGGAGACATCGCCTCTTCAGCAGCCAGGCGAAGAAGAAGTACTGGCGAGGAGAGTGGCTTGGTAGCCGGTCTAGAGACAGGTCTGTCTCCTGACCCCACACGCAGCCGAGGGGGCTAGTAGTGAGGCGGAGACCCTAATTGATGATGATGAGGCTGAACACACTTGGCAGCCTCGTCATCATCAGGCTATTGCTTCCGCATCATCAGGAGAAGAGGGTGCCAGCTTGGCAGTGAGCAAAACAGTCTGGTGGGGTTTGCCCAGGCAGCAGGGTCGCAGCAGTGTCAGTGGAGGCAAACGGCCACGGAGTAGAGCACCAGCTCCAATCTGCAGCCTACCACCACGGCAGTAGTGGTGCCGGTGTGCACGGAGGAGGAAGTAGCAGTATGTCGGACTATGTGGCTCCTGTAGAAAGTCAAGCGTGGCCATGGGGGCCCATGTCTCCATCGCCACACTCTGCATGTGCCACTTTCAGGTCTCCTCACACTGCTGGTGGGTTCCATTTTGTTGTCATAGGGTGCTGGCAGATTACGGGCCTCCCATTGCTGCTGCCAGGCCCGTAATCTGCCATGGGCCCCTGTACCGTACCAGGTTCCAGACGTCTCTCATGGGTCCCTCCTCATGCTGCTTGCCAGGTCCCCGTAGAGTCTCTCATGGGTCCCCTGTACGGCTCCCATTGCTGCTGTCTCCATCGCCACACTCTGCCATGTGCCACTTTCAGGTCTCCTCACACTGCTGGTGGTTCCATTTTGTCATAGGGTGCTGGCAGATTACGGGCCTCCCATTGCTGCTGCCAGGCCCGTAATCTGCCATGGGCCCCTGTACCGCCTCCTCATGCTGCTGCCAGGTCCAGAGTCTCTCATGGGTCCCTGTACGGCCTCCCATTGCTGCTGTCTCCATCGCCACACTCTGCCATGTGCCACTTTCAGGTCTCCTCACACTGCTGGTGGGTTCCATTTTGTCATAGGGTGCTGGCAGATTAAGGTCCTCCCATTGCTGCATGCTGCCAGGCCCGTAAAATCTGCCATGGGCCCCTGTACCGCCTCCTCATGCTGCTGCAGGTCCAGAGTCTCTCATGGGTCCCTGTACGGCCTCCCATTGCTGCTGTCTCCATCGCCACACTCTGCCATGTGCCACTTTCAGGTCTCCTCACACTGCTGGTGTGTTCCATTTTGTCATAGGGTGCTGGCAGATTACGGGCCTCCCATTGCTGCTGCCAGGCCCGTAATCTGCCATGGGCCCCCGTACCGCCTCCTCATGCTGCTGCCAGGTCCAGAGTCTCTCATGGGTCCTGTACGGCCTCCCATTGCTGCTGTCTCCATCGCTACACTCTGCCATGTGCCACTTTCAGCTCTCCTCACACTGCTGGTGGGTTCCATTTTGTCATAGGGTGCTGGCAGATTACGGGCCTCCCATTGCTGCTGCCAGGCCCGTAATCTGCCATAGGCCCCTGTACCGCCTCCTCATGCTGCTGCCAGGCCCGTAATCTGTCATGGGTCCCTGTACGGCCTCCCATTGCTGCTGTCTCCATCGCCACACTCTGCCATGTGCCACTTTCAGGTCTCCTCACACTGCTGGTGGGTTCCATTTTGTCATAGGGTGCTGGCAGATTACGGGCCTCCCATTGCTGCTGCCAGGCCCGTAATCTGCCATGGGCCCCCGTACCGACTCCTCATGCTGTGACGTTGCAACAAGGTGGAATTCAACCCTACATATGTTAGACCGCCTTTACGAACAGCGAAAGGCCATCACCGATTTCCTGATGTTACAAGCGGATAAAGGTACTCCCCCTGTGTAACTTAGATGTCAGCCATTGGCAGCTCATGCGTGACACCTGCCGCTTGCTCAGACCCTTTGAGGAGGCCACGCTATTCGTGAGTCGGCAGGACTATGGGATGAACGACGTCATTCCTCTGTTGCACGTCCTGGAACAAATGCTGTTAACAATGGCTGGTCAGGGTGCGGTAGACGTGGCGCACAGATCTCAACGCCACATGACCCCTGTGGGGGCAGGACAGGAAGAAGAGGAGGAGGTAGAGGAGGACATTGGTGCTCAGGAATTATTGAGTGAAATGGGTGGTTTTTCCACTCAGCGGACAGGAGTGGAGGAGCAGGAGCATCTGGTAGAGGAGGAGGAGGAGACAGAGGACCCAGACGCACCGTGGCAGTATGCTGTGGAGATGGAGGCAGGGGAGTCCCTCGCATTCCTTGGCACAAATATCCCATAGCATGCTCGGTTGCTTGCGTAGCGACAGCCGAATAATAACCATCAGACAGAGGGATGACTTTTGGCTGTCCACCTTGTTGGACCCTCGCTACCGTTCAAAAATGGTGACCTTTTTCACACCTGCTGAGAGGGAGGCCAAAATAACGTACTATAAAAACCACCTATGTAGTCAGTTGGTCTCTGCCTTTCTGCGCCAACGTCCATCCTCAGACACTGTGGGCCCTGTGCGCTCGCGTTCCGCTGCCATGGCAGCAGGGGAGGGGTGGGGTGGTAGGAGCAGTGGCAGCTCCACCAGCAGCAGCTGCCTCAGTCTGCAGTCGATGATGAGTAGCTTTCTTCACCAGCGCAGTGAGGAAACTACTAACCAGCCGCAGCAGCAGCAGCATCAGGTGGACCTGGAGCAGGACCTCAAACAACAGGCTCGGGCCTACTTGGACAGCACCCTGCCAACCGAGGTAGACAATCCCCTTGACTACTGGGCAACGAAACTTGACCTTTGGCCCCAACTAGCTGAATTTGCCCTTGAAAGGCTGTCATGCCCAGCCAGTAGCGTGGCATCGGAGCGCGTGTTTAGTGCGGCAGGAGGTATTGTAACTCCGCGGAGGACACGACTGTCCACCCAAAGTGTGGAGAGACTCACGTTTGTGAAAATGAATCAGGCGTGGATTAGTCTGGATTTCAAACCACCAGTTCCTGACACAACTGACTAAATCCGCCATGAATCATGCCCCAAACATGTTATTATTTTTAACATAGGCCTCTGTATGGCCTTCAATTTAAGCTGCTTACGCTTCGCCACTCTGCCATGGGCCCCTGTACCGCCTCTTCTTGCTGCTGCCAGGTCCAGAGTGTGTCATGGGTCCCTGTACGGCCTCCCATTGCTGCTGACTTCATCGCCAGATTCTGCCATGTGCCACTTTCAGGTCTCCTTACACTGTTGGTGGGTTCCATTTTGTCATAGGGTGCTGGCAGATTACGGGCCTCCCATTGCTGCTGCCAGGCCCGTAATCTGCCATGGGCCCCTGTACCACCTCCTCATGCTGCTGCTGCCAGGTCCAGAGTGTGTCATGGGTCCCTGTACGGCCTCCCATTGCTGTTGTCTCCATCGCCACACTCTGCCATGTGCCACTTTCAGGTCTCCTCACACACTGCTGGTGTGTTCCATTTTGTCATAGGGTGCTGGCAGATTACGGGCCTCCCATTGCTGCTGCCAGGCCCGTAATCTGCCATGGGCCCCCGTACCGCCTCCTCATGCTGCTGCCAGGTCCAGAGTGTGTCATGGGTCCCTGTACGGCCTCCCATTGCTGCTGTCTCCATCGCCACACTCTGCCATAAGCCACTTTCAGGTCTCCTCACACTGCTGGTGGGTTCCATTTTGTCATAGGGTGCTGTATGGCCTCCCATTGCTGCTGCCTCCACCGCCACACTGTGGCTCCACACTCTGGTTTTGGCCCCGTGACTGCCCAAATGAGTGAAGTGTGCGGTGATTCTAAGATCGACGGCACTCATCTGCATGTCATACTGACTGACAGTATTATTTCTCTTCCCCAGCAGACTCCAAGGGCATTTAAATTAAAGGTACAGTGTTCTGCACTAATATAAAGGCTCTCTGAAGCCTAGAAACACCATTTTTATAAGTTAAATTCGCAGCGAATATATTCGCATCGAATCGAATTTATTCCTCGAATTCGCCAAATCAGCCGAATCGAATTTTTGAATACTTCGCTCATCTCTACTGGTAACGTCTAGACTTGTGGTAACGCTAGGCAAGTTTAGCGCTTGAGTGTTAATTCATTTCAATGGCCAGAATAAATTATCATTCGCTCAAGAGCTGGATGCACATAATCGCATTACATGTGTTTACAAGCATCAATCATTTTTTCAGCCAAAAGACTATTGCCAGGAGGAAAGGCGTCTAGGAGAGATAGCTAAAATGTCCAGTGGCATGAGGCCTAGCTGTAGTTACATGAATTAAAGATTTCAATTTGTGAAGTTATTAAAAACATTGACCAAAAGGAACATCAATCCTTTCCAACTATGTGTGCTACAGGTAGAAAAATTCTAGCAATCTCTGGGTATGCTGAAGCTTGAATTTGTGGATATACTGTAATATACAGGTATATCTCCGCTTCGCTTTTGATTGACAGAGTACAGCAGTGTGTGGATTCAAAAGACACTATTGGACTGCATAGCATCTATGGATCTGCCCTCTCCCATGTCATGTTTCATCAATCAAAAATTAAGTGGACCTGATGAGGAATTAATCTCTCAGTTCCCCATTAGACTAAGTGCACCCCTGGAATAAAACTCCCTGGCCAAGCACTAGTCATTGTGATTAGGGCTTCTGTAATAAACCATGGGGCCGCATACAGCCAACCTGACAGGGCCACCGCCCTAAAAAAAAACAAAAAAAAAACACAGTTTACTATGCTTAAGTTATGAATGAACACATTGAGTGATCAGTATCGATAACTCATTGTGTTCATTCAGGAAAGGAAAGGGCTGATAATATGGCATATTTACCAGACTCTTCCCTCGCTGTCACGTACCAGATTGGAGACTGAAATGACGAGGTCGGCCTCACTTGTGTCACTAGCCCTGACCCCACTGGAAGTGAAACAGAGGGTGTATAGGGACCAGGGGGACAAGAGCGCCGGCAGATGTTGTTTGCAGCTCTTGCAACTGGAGACTTTGGAAGACTGATGAACCTCTGATTCAGGAACAGTAGTGATATGCAGAGCTGGTATGGTAGGTCACCAGGTCTGCACCAGAGCAAGGCAGGAAGCTGGGATGGGAGACAGGAGCAATGTCATAGGAATAGCCGGGGTCATCAACGGGCGGACAGCGAGGTACCAAATTATAATCAAGCCAAAGTTAGGAGCAGAGCCGAAGTCAGGAACCAGTATCAAGCAGCAGAGTAATCAGAGTCAGGTCAGGAACAAGCCGGGTCAGCAACAAGGAAATCACACAGGAAAGGAGCAGGAAACGGGGAACAGCTGAAGACCAGTCGGCACTCAGCACAGGCAGAGGCACTTTTTAAATAGTCCGTCTGGCGCCAATCTTCACCATGCGTGTGCATGTGCATGATCGCACATTTCTTTGCGCATGCGCACTTCTATTTGCCAATCATCTCACCGGGATTCCCTTACACCCACTCTCCATCCTGAAGGATCTTGAGTGCTTGCAGCTGCCAGTGGAAAGGAGAGGAGGGAAGCTGGCAGCTCTGGGGGTGTCAAGGTCCTACCTTTCCTCAGAGATTGTGTTGCTCCATGTGCTGGCATCCATCTTAAGTTCCTGCAAAGCATGGTGGGAGCCTTTATGCTTTCAGGCCTCCGCGGCTCCTCCTCCAGAAGGGTGTGGCTGATCACATTTAAGCCTGCTGTCTGCAGTTGCTCTTTGCATTCGTGTCCTGTATGTTCCTTTGCAGCAAGCTCTTGTTCTGTTCTCGTTGCTCTCCTGGTAACCGACTTGGCTTGGACAATACTATTCTCTGCTTTATCCCTTTACCTGGCCTCCCGTTGCTGAACCCGGCCCGTGACCTGAGTATTCTTGTCTACCATTTTGTACTGTTTGCTCCATTGTTATCGACCCAGCCTGTACGCCATTGGCGGAAAGCTATACGTTTTCCATCTGGCCCCCACCAGCTGTACACCATTGGCGGCAGTCGTTACCGCAGCTGGGGTTACACGGGGGCCGCGACCTGGTCTCAGGCTGCGTCAAGTCCATCCCCACCATCAGGGGCCCTGGTGAAGGGCAGCCTGGAGCTTAGACTCCACGCCCTGAGGGACTCTGGTCTGTAAGTAGCGGCTGTCGTCAGTCGCTGCGTGACCTTACCATTAGGCCTGCCTGCCCATTCCACCGCTCCTGCCCTGACAGGGGGAAACATATGGTGCACAGGAAGCGTGATGAGTGCGGCAGGGGCAATTATTGGATCCCCGGTATATCTCTCTCCTTCAGCAGCTGAAAACCCTTGGGAAGGAGAAAATAAGAAGCCAGCCTTCAGCTGCTGCAGAGAAAGCCATACTAGGGATCGTTCCAGTATTTGACCCCCCCTTGCCGTGACGATCACCATCCCTGCCCACATCTGATTTAGCTAGCTGCCTGGGCCCCATACAGGAGGACTGGTGGGACCCCCTTATACATGGCCCTGATTGTGATGGATGCAGTGGTCAGGCAGAGAAAGGAAGGAGTGAGTGCACTAAGAAAGGAGTGTCCAGTGTGGTCATGGACAAAATGATGTACCTGTCTGTGACAGGTACTGTATGTCATCTATTTATCTATCTACATTATTTATCTACTGTATCTACATTATCTATATCTATCTACATATATATCTACATATCTGTCTAGCTACATATCTATCTATAAAAGGAGTGTCCAGTGTGGTCAAGGACAAAATGATGTACCTGTCAGGTACTGTATATCATCTATCTATTTATCTATCTATCTATTGTATCTACATTATCTATCTATCTATCTATCTATCTTGAGTTTGCTTGCTGATAACTGACCACCATAATACTTTAATGAGTTTAAACATGTGATAAATATATGGGATTTGCTCCATAAGAAATTATTGGATGTATAGCCATGATATTCTTTCAGCATGCTGAGAGAATGAAGTCATACTGTTATGACCTACCAACCTACGTGTAGTTCAGACCGTTTACTATTCTATCAGATTGAATTTGCTGTCTGCTTCCTGGCGCTTACTAATGACATGGGAAATATCAGAGACAGTGAGAGAATTTTAGTAAGCAGGTTGCATTCTGCAGCTAGTGGAAAACATATGCTCCAAAATCAAGAGATTTTCATTTTTTTTACATAAGATTAAATGATTAGCTTGGTCAGAAAGATACAGAGGAACATTACTAATGGGTGACGTTCACGCAAATCCTTCCTTTTAAATATGATGAATAAGTTCTCTATTTATGAAAACCAAAAAGCCACCAGACGACAATCATGGGGCTGTGCAGGGTCATGCAATGTAACAGCAGACAACACAGGAATCAGCAAAATCCTGCTTGGATGGGGAATTATTTGTTCTTACAAATGCCTCCTTCTAGGTTGCCTCGAAGTAACACTTATGCCTCCTTGAAGTTCCTGACCTAGGACAACCTTAAAACAAGACGATTGTTATAGGATTGGTGTCCCAAGCACAGACTCCAATAATTTGCTCAGCACAGAAGCACTAGAGGTTCCTTCTTTCTAAGTTGCTATGGCTTCTGACATGATAGATCTTGACTGTCCATGATTTGGTCAGCTTTACCCTCTTTTTATAGATCAAGGGATTTAAAGTGTGTGCCATTTTTAAAATCTGTCTAGAGTGGAAAAAGTTTAGAACTCATGTCTGATTTTTACTGCTATTCCTGAGATTTTCCCCTACTATCTGTCCACTAACAATGTTTTAACTAGAAAGGAGTGAGGAGAATCTCCAACAGAGACACAGAGTAAAATAAATCTGACAGGGGTTCTAACATTCTACTGTAGGGATCCACTGCCCTCTACTGTCACCTGCTAGTATCACAGTGTAATTTAAAATTAGATACAGTATGTCACTTCCTGACATCGGTTGTTGGGAAGAGATCTTGGAAGAAGTAAGTGGAAAGAGAGAAGGCTTCATCCACCTGCTAAAGCTGAACCTCCGCCTTCTTGTGCCCCACGTAATGCCAAAGGCCGCCACATGACTTGTCAGGCCATTGACCTTTATATCCCCAAGGAAGGAATGTCCACACATAAAAGTACTTTTACTGTGCTTTACTGGTGGTATTCAGGAAATGGCATAACAGCCACATCACAAGGACATACATTCTGGAGCCACTTGACAATACACAGTCAATCACATTTAGTGAAAGGTCCTCCGTCACAAGTGAAAGCATATGCAGTATTTCAGCAGCCTACCTTACAGTCTCTCCTCTACCCAGGGTCATTAGTCCTCACAGAACTGTGATCTCTGCAGTCACCTCCTCGCTAAGTATATTTCTCCCAGGCCCCTCCAGGGAAGCAGCCTCACACAGGGAACTCTTGACCTGGCCTAAAGGCCTTTTGCAATCTGCCCATCTCCATAGGGAACAGAGAGTCTACATCCGGTTCTTCTTGGGTACAAGCTTACTCCTCCCTCCTGTCCTATCCAAGCTCCAATGCCCTAAGTGTGTCCTTCCTACCTGATTTCTATATGGGTGATGACTCCCCCCTGACATCACTGTGGGAGGGCTCTACCTGATTACACTACTTGCTGTAGCTAGACATTATTCTGGTACAGAGCCACAAAGTGGCAAAGTAATTACCTGCACCTGCTTACATGTCTATCAGAGTGACAGAAAGACACAGATAATAAAAATCTTACAGAACTTCTAACCACCTCCCCATTCTCCTAAATAAATGAGCTTTTGTTATAGTATCCAAAAAATGTTCATAATTTTCTTGACTTGATGACACCCTGTCACCAGGCCAGGATGTGAAGGTAAATCTGTACAAGTAAAGACACAGACAGAACAAAGAAAAAAATGATTGAGGTTTTAAAATTAGGCTTTTGCTTACCTATAGCTGATGAAATACTAAATGTAATATAAAAGAATAGAATAAAAGTTCTCATTTTGAAC